CCAACTAATACTAATACTTCCGATTCTAGATTTGGTTTTCTTGATAAAGTTATGAAAAAAAAAAAACTACAAAGCATCTACATCATTCTCATCATCTTCTTCTTCAACACTTGCTAAAAATGATTATTTGTCATATCAACATGAGACCAACAACAGCTTTCAAATCAAAAAATGGTGGCAAAAACATCAAAAAAAGCTTTCCTATATTAGCGAGAATTGCAAAAGATATACTTGCAGTTCCCGCTTCATTTGTTGCTTCCGAGTCTGCTTTTAGTGCAGGTAGAAGAGTGTTAGATGAATAAAGATCTCGCTTAACTCCGGAAAGCATTCAAATTTATGTTTGTAAGAAAGATTGGGATCAAGCTGAAAGAAGAACTCAAGGTTTAAAGCAAGACGAAGACGATGAAGATGATCCTGTGATGATATTGGAGTCGTCAACGGATGATGCAGCTTCCGGGGATCATGATGCAACAAACATGGGTGGCTAGAAAAGTCTTAATCAGGTACGCTAAGAACTACGTGGGCTTTGATTCTTTCATGATACGTAGGCAACATATTTTTCGAAAATTAGAATTTAATTGCAAAATTAAATTTTAATTTTCTAAAGATAGGTCCAAGCCCCAACCCCCCAAATTCCAAAATAAGTAAAATATAAGAATTAGAGATGACAACGGGTCAGATCTGGACCGGATCCGACTGGATCCAGATTAAGATCCATATCCGACCCGGATCCGTCGGGTATCAAAAATAAGGATCCATATCCAGATCCGTTGGATCCTACGGATCCGGGTCCAAAACAAAGCTAGCAATTAATTCAATAATAAGATATAAAATAAACCAAAAACAAATTTAATTTACATATTTCAGTAATTTCACAATACTATAGAGTAGATGTACAATTCAATAATCATATCAAATTTTCGTAATGTATTACTAAAATACCTTGAAATTATACAAGTAAACTAAGTAAGCAACCTTAATTCATAGTAGTTTTTTAAAACAGATCTAAAAGTAAATAATCAACATTATATTACACCTATACAAGTAAAAATCATAATATATATCTAGCTTTTAATGGGCAAATCTAAACTAAGCTCTAAAGCAAGAGATGGATTCGCCACCACCCATCATCGACAGCCTAACGGGGCAGCAGTAGCGACATGAGCAACAGCAGTGGCGATAGTGCGGCAACGACGGGAGCAATAACAAAACCAAACTCTCGCAGGTGTAGAGAGAGAATATTAGGGATAGAGAGAGAGTATGTGATATAAATTTTGGTTTTTGAGAGATGTAGTTAGTGTACTTAGGGGATTGTAGTCTATGAGGTAATTTGTGGGCTGCGCCTTAAGGGATGTGTAGGATATTTAGGGTTTTTAAATTTAAACCAGGTAAACGGATCTTGATCCGGGTATCACGCTTAGACATGTACCCAGATCCGTTTTTTCTCATAGGATCCGGATTCGCGCGGGTTCAAATTTTGAAGATCCATATCCATGAAAACGGATATGGATCCACGGATTCGGATCGGATCGGATCCGGATCCGGATCCATTGCCATCCCTAATAAGAACTATGTTGGTTTTGATTCCTTATTTTGGATATAAGGATACGTAGGCATCTTAATTAAGAGCAAGCCTTCAAATAGTTAATTTTGTAAAAATTAAAACACCACACAACCCATTTAGCCATTTGGCCCACCTGACCCTAACACACGAACCCACCCGACCCTAACACACTAACCCAGATCAACCCAAACCCACCTCGACCCACCCTTTGACCCAACCTAACCCACGAATTCACCTCGACCCACCCTAACCCACCTCGACCCACCCTTTGATTCACCCTAACCCACGAACCCACCCACGACCCGTCTAACCCACGAACCTAACCCTGGTGTGTCCAACTTCTCCGACCTAACCCATGACCCAACCCACCCTACCTAATGTGTGTCGTGTGTCATGAAACCCCAACCCGCGACCCACCTAACCCTAACCTAGCTCGCACGACTCGCATGGTGGACACCTCTACTTGTAGTTTATACTTTATAGTGTACATTTTTATGGGACCAATTTTGTGGCATAATATACCTCCATGTTCATGCCCTACAAATCCACAATTAATTATTTCAATAACACTCTGTTATTTCTTACTTTTTTTAGGGTTTTTTCTCTTCAGTTTAATTTCAGTTCAGTTCAGTTCACCTTCAATGAGTTCAATTCAGTTCAGTTCCTAATTTTCTTTACTCATAAATTATTCATTTCAGTTCAGTTTAGTTCCTAATTTCCTTCTCTTATAAAAAATTTATTTCAGTCCGGCTCCAATCAGTTCACTTCAGCTCCAATCAATTCACTTCATTCAGCTCAGCTCAATTTAGTAAATAAAAATAGATCCTTAATCATTGTAATAAGTAGCCACATGTACCGCTAAACGTGGGCACGGGCCGTGCCGGCACGCGGGCGGCACGGGTCCGACACGACTCCGGCACGGCACGGTCGCCGGCACGGCGGCCCACTTGTGGGCCGTGCCGTGAACACTTTTTTGGAAATCGGCACGTAGCACGGCGGGCGGCACGGTGGCCGGCACGCTGGCACGACCCGCCGGCACGGCACGATGCACGGCCGGGCACTGCACGACACGAGCCCGCCAGGCACGGCTCGGCACGTATTATTAATTATCATTATTGTAAGATTTTTAATTATCATTAATTATTTTGTATTATTAAATTTTCGTACATTCGTATCGGCTACCGTCATATAATAAAATAAGTTATTCTTCAACTTTTTGTGTTTTCGGATTATCGCACTCGTATTTTTTTTTATTATATGCATTGTTGTTTTTTGCTAAATTAATAAAATTGTTTTTATTTGTTTACATAAACTTAAACATAATTATTAATTAGATAAATAATTTATATAACCTAAATTAAAATAAAGTTGTTCAAAAAATGTAAACAAATTATATTAACATTAACATTAACATAAACATAAATTAATCACATATATTAAGTTGTACTAAAAAAAAATATATATCGTTTAATTCGTTTTTTTTCATTTATTAAAAAAAATAAAAAAAAATATTAAAAAGGGTGGCAAGATTTGGCCCGCGGCTCGGCACGGCACGGCCCGCAAGGCACGTGGACCGTGCCGTGCCGTGGGCTGGGGTGTGCCAATTTCAGGCACGGCACGGCCCGCTGCGGAGCCGGCAAGGCACGACCCCCACCACAGCACGGCCAGCGGCACGTAACGGCCCGTTGCCCATGTTTGAGTACCACTCTTAACTTTTCCTATTCACTGATACCACATGATTTTCGTGAGGAAGTCTCCACGATTCTTCGTTCTTGTTTTGTATTCTTATTTTCACACGTCGTTTGCACAAAGAATGAAAGACAAATACTAAACATTGGTCAACACAGTCAATTTATAAAAGTTACTTTTTCTTATTTTATTACTTATTAGATGGTTCGTTGTTGGTTCCTTACTTCCCTGTTTATGTCATAAGCCCCAAGCTTCATTGTACAAATCCAAAATCCGACTAGTCGATGTAATTGACCAACACTTTTACAGTACTCATAATTCATAAACAACTAAATAAATGCATTTTGGTAATTAAAGTAGAAATTTTAGCCCTGTCCGAATTGGCTGAATCGTATCGTCAATACGTCATGTTTATAACTCTCTCTTCAAATAAAACAATGTTGAAAAATTATGTAAAAAAAAAAAAAAAAAAAAAAAAAAAAAACAATGTTGAAAAATTATATCATACAAACTACTCCATAACATCATTGTTATAAAATACTTGTAAGTACTCCCTCTGTTTTTTGTTTATATTTATTCCTTGTAAGTACTCCCTCTTTTTTTGTTTATATGTATTAGTTTAATCGCTACATTTGTCGAGACACTACTTTGACCATTAATATATTTAATTGTGTATTATTAAAATTTGTAACAAAATTATACTCCCTACGTTTCCAAAACTTCGACCCTTTTATAAATTTCGACCCTTTACACAATCAACCCAAAAGGGTCGAAGTTTTAGGGACGGAGGAAATATTATGAAACTAGACATTATGACAAATCTAACTATATATTATATAATAACTTCTATTTATTTCTTAGAGGTGAAAAAATTAAGTCAACTATGGTATGTGAATAGTACAATTATTAAAATGACGCATTAAAAAAAACAGAGGAGAAATAAACTAATACTCCTTTAATCCTAAAATAGTCAACCTTTTTAACTTTTTGGCTATTTATAAACCGTACAAATTCAATATTAGTTTTTTTTTAGAAATATAATGGTTGCCCAACTATTGTAATTGGGTCAATACTAGTTTTTTTAGTAACAAATTAGAATCAAACTTTATTATAAAATATATTGTTAAATAAATACTCCCTCCGTTCCTTATTGATAGTTCTCTATGGACAATTTTCACAGAATTAATAAACATAAATAAGTATTAAAATTAAATTGAAAAAATAAATTTACATTGGATATGCAAAAAAGTTGAGAGAAAGTAATAAATGTATATGAAAAAAAACAAAATTTACATGGAAAAGCTAAATTTACCAAATATTATTGCAAATTTGAGGAAATTTTGGTAAAAAACTAATATTATTAGTTGTTCGAAAATACAAATGGGATGAATATTTTAGAACTAAAATTTAGCCATAAAGGACTATCAATAAGGGACAAAGAGAGTATTAAAAATGTATTACTTGTAAAACAAAACTTTATAATATATGGAGTATCAATTTTTTTTTTTACAATTTTTACTCCGTATTAATATCTAATCATATACACCGTCCTCTGTATATTTAAGGTTAAATTAATGTATTTCAAATTTAACTTATAAAATTCATAATTTAGAGATATAAGAGTAATATTTATTTATTTTGTACTTGTATATCAACTAGATTATTTGAATGAGCCCCTTACCAAAATAAATACTAAATAAATAAATGAACCTCTTAAAAGTCCATCCAAACCCCACATGATCTTTTTCTTAACATTCTTTTTACAATTAAATTAGGGAAATGAACTTGCCTCTTCCATAATCCTACTGCAACACGCAACTCTTTATATACTTCGTATTTGGCTAGCTCCATCACTCTAAAAATTAAATTTGTGAGATCCTATCGTACAAGACTTACTCGACTTGTAATCAAATATGGAAATGTTTTCATCACAATTTGGCTCTGGCCTTGCCGGTCTAATGTTCATTTGGACAATATACCGGCATTACCTCCCTCCCAAATTACATGAAGCTATTGAGTATTTCACTTCTCGTTATACTCACAAATTGGCTAGTTATTTCTCCCCTTACCTCGATATCACCTTCGATGAGTACTCGAATCGATTCAATCGAAACGAGGCCTACGACGCGATCCAAAGCTACCTCGGCGACAAATCTTCAACGGAAGCTAAAAGTATGAACGCTGATTATGATGAAGGTGCCAAGAGTTTGTTGATAAAATTGGGAAATAATGAGGAGATCATGGATGAGTATAAAGGTGTTCAAGTTTGGTGGTCTTTTGTCAAACAACATGTTGAACAAGCAGCTATCTCTTACTTCAGAAACTCCAATGAAAAAAGGTTCAAATCTCTCCATTTTTCAAGTTTATTTTTAATTAGTCATTCAAGAATTCATGATATATACATTAATTAAATTAATTAACATCTCTGTTTTATTTAATTTCTGTCTTAAAGAGTTAAGAATATACCTTTTTTTAGCAACATTTCTCTGTTTCATTTTGCTTCCTATTTTGATCGAAAAGTTGAGGGATTAGTTTATTTTGTTGCTTTTTGATTGCAACCAAACCAATGAACCAATCATTTTAATATCTTCTTTGTCATCCCATTTCTATCCAATGGTTGAAGTATGTCGAAAAGTTCTGGTTTTATTTTATGAAAAGTTGCTTTACACGGCCAATACCCCCCACAGTTGCCATTTCGGCTTGAGTTGATTGGTTAAACACTTTGGGAAGTTGGGGGAAAATGGTAAAATATTTTCGTCCTTTAAGTGAAATTAAAACCGACCTTAAAGGGAATGTTAGATACCACCATTTAAAATGATTTAAACCGCCATTATTTAGTGTAAATGGACAATTATGGCCTTAGTATTTCACCAGTATCTTCCCTCTTGCCACCAATTATTAACACCTCGACATCACCACCCTCATTGACAACTAACACCACCACCACAATGAACGGCGATGAGGACCACCACCATGACCATTGATGACCACCACCCTGACCAACGACCCACCACATCCCCGTTTTATAATGGTAATTTAATTACATTTTATCACAAATAATTGATTTTTAGTCATTTAAAATGTGATTCTTTACTAATAATTTTTATTTGTATTAGATTACTTTTATGCATATTGGGGTAACTTTTATTTATTTTAGGGGTAACTTTTGATCAATCTAGTCTATCTTTATAGTTGATGTACAATAATTATTGTACATCAGATTTTTTTTAAAGTTTGTACAAAACATATACGAAATATATTTGATAGAGTAATATAAATCTGTCCTAAAATTATTTATCAAGTCATATGAGTGATCTAATATTCTTTTTTTTTTTAATTTATTCTTGAAACATAGTGATATAATATTCTAATCACTAGCGTAGTAAGATTTAAAATTTGTAAAAAAAATTATCAAGTCATTCAAGAGATAAAAAGTTTAAAACAGAGCTTATGACTTCATTATTTTACTAACAAATGTTGAATTCAAACAGACACTACACATTGGTGTTTCATGCCAAGCACAGAAAGTTTATAATGGACAAGTATCTACCATATGTTCTAGAGGAAGGCGAGGCCATAACAAATCGAAACAGGAGGCGAAAGCTGTATACAAATGATGATGATGACATGTGGCTTAACTACTGTTTGGGTCCAATTTAGTCCAATTGGGCCTGGTCACTGAATGATCCAATTAAAAGCCCAAGGTTAAGGTTCAACTCTCCAAATATGCTAAAGTCAAAAATCAACATCCTCAAAGCCATGTCAAGGTCAGTCAACGGCCCAATCAGCTTGGCCCAGCCCAACTGACTTCCGGGCCCAATCCGCCTCCTTCATTAGCCAAGGTATAAAAGCCAACAATTTGGTCAATCCTTGGTAAGACAATAAAGCCTCAAGCAACTAAACTCTTGCACAGCTTTCTCTCTCTAATATACTGACTTAAGCATCGGAGGGGCCTTCCTCGGCGTCCCCCCCGAGGCTAGTTTACGTGTATTTGTTGTGCAGGAAACCCTCGGCTCCTGCGTCGTTCGGACCGAGACCAAGTTCCCTCAAGATAAAAGGATCTTCCGAGATTCGATTGTTTTCATCCGAAACAATTTGGCGCCGTCTGTGGGGAACGCTACTAAATTTCGCGTCAGTCATCAAACACTCCGGCAGTCGCCATGACTAAGAGTGGAAAGAGTTCCAAGAAGGCTAAGAAGGGAGGAGGCCGGATTACGGTGAGGGAACGCCAGCCGGTTTATCCCTCCCCGGAGCAAGCCTCTTCCGAATCGGAGGCCCCCATTTCTCCGGAAAGGGAAGCCTCAAGAGGTCCTAGCCTCCAGGAGGAGAACACCTCGCACCACACTCGGCAGCCGGGGCCATCCCCGAGACCGAGTGGCTCAGGTGCGAGGAACTCCCCGCCGCGCCATAGCGTGCAATCCAGGTCACATCCGCGGGAGACTCCTCCCTCCGGACCCTCCACCGAGGAAGTGGCCAGAGCAGTGGCCATCTGCATGGAGTTCCTTAAAGCTCAAGGGGCTCCAATCCAGATGCCTGATGATCACCAGCCGAGAAACCTGAAAAGGAGGATCGGTCAGGATGATGGTGGACAAGTTCCACCACATAGACAGCTCGGCCAGAGGTGGCGAGGGGACACCCGAAACTCCAGTAAGGAGAGGAGGAGGAACCCTCAACCCTCTGACCACTCTGAAGCTCAGAATTCCATGGGGCCCTCCAAGGACCCGGAATTCGCCCGCCAAAGCGTTCACGAACGCTTGGGTTCGAGGGAGGTGAGTGTGCATAGCCGCCTCACCTTCCCAGAGGATACCGGACCCCACCCAACCTTGTCTCAGCCGGGGACGAAAACCACTTCCACCTCTGAGAGAGGAGGGAGCGAGGTCCCTGAGGCTGGGTACAAGGGGAAGGCGGTCATGGTTCCATCGAACTCGCCCTTCCAGAAGTGGATTCTGGAAGAGCATGTGCCAACGGTCAAAATCCCGGCACATATTACTTACGATGGTACCTCAGATCCTAAGGATCACATTGCCTCTTACGAGGGGCACATGTATCTGAACCCGAGGTCTGAGGCTACCTGGTGTAAATACTTTCCTACGACCCTCAAAGGTGTTGCCCAATCCTGGATCACCAAAGGGCTCAAGGAAGGCTCCATAACCGGTTGGAACGACCTCTCCAACAAGTTCAAGAGCAAATTCTCTACGGCCAACCGCCGAGAGAAGACCACTGCAGAGCTAATGAGTCTGCAGCAGGCGGAGGACGAGAGCCTCCGCGACTATCTGACTCGCTTCAGCAACGAGTCATCCGGAATCACAAGCCTGGATCAAGGCCTGGCCGTGTTCGCGCTACGGAACGGCCTCCAAGCTGGAAAGTTCCTGGACTTCATGGTCATGCATCCCCCGCAGACCCTGGAGGAAGCCTTGGAAGCATCGGATAGGTTCATCCGAGCCGAGGAGTGGAACAGATCCAGGTCTCAGTCTCGTCCGAGAATTGAGAAGCCGAAAGGGCAGCAGCCCGAAGTCTCGGCGCAGAGGAAAGGGAAGGCTAAGGCCTCAGAACCGTCCTCTGCTGCCGAGCCGAAGAAGGAAAGACACTTTCCCTACACGGGAAGGTACGATTCATACACTCCACTCTCCCTTCCCCGTGCTAAGATTTTCAGCACGACGAAGGACGAGGGGAGATTCAAAAAACCTCGTCCATTGCCTCCCTGGCATCAGACGAGGGGAAAGGACCAGTGGTGCGAGTTCCATGACTCACCCGGACATCGCACCGAGGACTGCGTCCAGCTGAAGGACCAGATTGAGGATCTGGTCCGCAAGGGGTACCTGAGCCAATACCTCGCGGACAGGCGCGAGGAGAAAAAAGCTGAAAAAGATTCTCGGCAGGACCTCAACTTCGCTCGGAAGAAGGATAAGGGACCTCAGGGCAAGGAGTCCCTCGACATCCTGGTTATTTCCGGGGGAATCTCGCAAGGCACAGCCAAACGCCAACTGAGGGGTCTAACCCATCAGATTCATCAGGCTGAGCTTCGGCAGTCCCAGTCACCGGCGCCGAACATCCTGTTCACAGCCGAAGACTGTGAGGGGGTGGTATACCCCCACGATGACCCACTAGTAATCATTCTGGGCATCGCCAACCGCAACGTCTGGCGGACCCTCGTCGACGGCGGTAGCGGGGCGAACATCCTCTTCCGAGGAGCGTTCGACCAGCTGAGGATGGGAGCCGAGCACCTGGCCCCCGCACCCTACCCGGTGTCTGGATTCAACGGCTCTTCATCGTATCCTGACGGGAAGATTACACTTCCTGTCACCATCGGCGAAGGCCGAGCAGCTAGGAATATCATGGCCGAATTTTTGGTCGTAGATGCTCCATCTGCATACAACGTGATCATGGGGAGACCCCTCATTCACGGCATTCAAGGAGTCGTCTCCACGTATCATCAAATCATGATATACGTTTCAGACGAGGGACGCTCCGAGAAAATAAAGGGCAGTCAAAAAGAAGCCCGCCGATGCAATCACCTCAAGCCATCCACGTCTCGCCGAGGCGACCGTGGCGATGGGGAGGAAAAGCACCGGGACCGAAACGCCAAAAAGCCGAGAGGCTCAGACGTTTCGGCTAATGAAGCCCCAGACAACGAGAAATCTGATGGGGGCCAAAAGGCTGACTCCGCCTCAGAGCCGAACGACTCTGATGGCCAGCCGCGGTCAGGAAAGTCTGCTAATATTGATAGCAGGCCGGAATTCGAGGAATCCAACTCTAAGAGCATGGAGACGGATGACCTGACCGAGTCAATAGAACTGACCGTAGGAGATCCGAACAGATGTGTTAGCATCGGGTCGTCACTGGAGCCAAACACCCGTGCGGCACTCGTCCAACTCCTACGGGCCAGTGGAGACGTGTTCGCCTTCTCAGCCGCAGAAATGCCCGGGATTGATCCGGACTTCGTCTCCCATAGGCTTAATGTCGACCCCTCCAGTCGACCCATTAAGCAGAAAAAGCGGAACTACTCCGCCGAAAAGAACCAGAACATCGCAGCTGAGGTCGATAAGCTCCTAGATGCTGGGTTCATTGAACCCTGTCAGTATCCGGAGTGGCTGGCCAATGTTGTAATGGTTCAGAAGGCAAATGGTAACTGGAGGATGTGCGTTGACTTCACGGACCTGAATAGGGCATGTCCCAAGGACTCCTATCCGCTGCCGAGGATCGACCAACTGATCGACTCGACAAGCGGGCATGCTCTGCTCAGTTTCATGGACGCATTCTCGGGATACCATCAGATCTTCATGCACCCCGAGGACCGAGCTAAAACAGCGTTCATAACAAGTTCCGGGTTGTACAATTACAGAATGATGCCCTTCGGATTGAAAAATGCGGGGGCAACATATCAGAGGTTGGTTGATCAGGTTTTCGCCGAGCAAAAAGGCCGAAACATGGAGGTTTATGTTGACGACTCAATCGTCAAAAGCATAAAAGAAAAAGATCATGTCACGGACCTAGCCGAAACCTTCGCCACCCTCAGAAAATACAAAATGAAGCTGAATCCGAAGAAATGTGTCTTCGGCGTGAAGTCAGGCAAGTTCCTCGGCTTCATGGTCAGCAAGAGGGGGATTGATGCAAACCCCGCCAAAGTACAAGCTGCTTTAGACCTCCCCGAGCCGAAGACAAAAAGGGATATTCAGCGTCTAGCCGGGAGAATGGCTGCCTTGTCCAGGTTCATCTCACGAGCCTCAGACAAAGGGCTCCCTTTCTTCAAGGCGCTGAAGCTCCAAAATTCAAAAGGCATTGAATGGGGAGACGAACAAAAGTCAGCCTTTCAGCAGCTCCGTGAACACCTGGCTCAACTCCCAACACTGGCAAGGCCAGTCGTAGGAGACATCCTATACTTATACGTGGCGGTCAGTCCAGCCACGGTAAGCGCGGTGCTGCTAAGGGAAGAAGAAAAAGTTCAACAGCCGATCTATTTCGTCAGCCACACCCTGACGGATGCCGAGACGCGCTACCCACTGTTAGAAAAAGTGGCTTATGCAGTGGTGGTGGCTGCTCGGAAGTTGCGACCCTATTTTGATTCTCATCAAATAGCGGTTCTAACTGATCAGCCGTTAGAGAAAGTCCTCGGCAAGGTTGAAAAATCCGGTAGACTAGCAAAGTGGGCTTTCGAGCTCACCGAGTTCAGTATCGGTTATCAGCCGAGAACAGCCATCAAGGCGCAAGCCTTGGCAGACTTCTTGGCCGAGTGCTCCTATCAGGAGACTCTGGATGCAAGGAGGAAAATCTGGACCGTCTTCACGGATGGGTCCTCCACCGTGAACGGTTCGGGGGCAGGGGTCGTCATTACCTCTCCCGAAGGCAAAACCTTCGAGTATGCACTAAAATTTTCATTCAAAGCCTCTAACAACGAGGCCGAATATGAAGCAGCCATTGCTGGCTTAGACCTGTGCATATCGTTGGAAGCCGAGCATGTCTACCTCAAGACAGATTCTCAGCTGGTCGCCAATCAGATCCGGGGGGAGTATGAGGCTAAAGAGCCTTCAATGGCAGCTTACCTCACAAGGATCAAATCGACAATTGCGAAGCTGAGATCTTTCGAAGTAGAGCTGATCCCAAGGGGTCAAAATGCTCAAGCGGACGCACTCTCCAAA